AGCACGGCTAGAGAACTTACCACACTGTTCTCCTGCCTAGTGTGCTCATTATTTAATAGGAAAGCAGAGGGGCTGCCAGAAACACCAGGGATTTCACACAAAGGAAGCAATACAAAGAGAACAGGATACTTCTCCATACAAGTACATGGCACAGCAGGCATATATTAGGAATGTGAAATGTTGGGTTTACATATTCTTTAATGATACAAATCTACTCAGGGTGGATCAAAGACAAAAGCGTTGAGCATTATCATTTTAAAGCCCAATTCTGGGATTAAATTAACCCCCATACACCCCTCCCACTCCTCTTCCATCTAATTGCTGGGTTTAAAAAAAAAAATCTAAACCCTCAATTTTAATTTACCTGAAACTGTGGTCACATGATCATCCAGCATCAGGTCTTTCTCCTCTCTCTTTACTTTCTTGAGGGGACAATTCCCATTAACCAACCAGCAGATGCGTTCTCTTGGGGTTCAGACGACTGTTGACATTGGATAGAGAGGAGTGAATGGGATCAGATGGCAAGGGTTTCCATGTTGGACAAGCATTCCCTGCAGATGGAAATGGTATCAGCCAGGGACTTGGATGGGGGGACTCAGGTGAGTATAACTTACTTCATCAGGTAGAAACAGCTGGCACGATGGGTTAGGGATGGGAAAATTATAGATTTTGCCTGGAGTTTGGTTTTAAAGGATAATTCCACCTTTAATAGTTAGAGCACTGACTACTGTGCATTCTGCTTAGTGTGGTCAGTTTGTAATAGGAAAGCAGAGGGACTGGCAGGAACACCAGGGATTTCACACAAAGGAATCAATACAAAGAGAACAGGAGACTTTTTTGTACAAGTACATGGTACAGCAGGCACATATCAGGAATATGAAATGTTGGGTTTACATCTTCTTTGATACCGGCCCAGCAAAGCTCTATGCTAGGCTGGACACTACAGCTAAGGATCGCTGCTGTCTGGGTGAGAGCCGTGGTTGGTGTTTAGCAGTCCTCCACATTGTCCTTTCAGCACAGCAATTGGCAGAACCCGCTCTTCCACCAAACGTAGCTGATTGCAGTGCTGTAGCGATGACCAGAAGTGTCATGTCAGATGCCGTACTTTCTGTAAGAGAGCAGTGGTCTTTAGCTGCAGTCACCTTCCCAACATTTGGCTTTTCCTCCGGGGCTAGAGGAGCATTAGGAATATAAAACGCAGTGAGACTAACAATATGTTAGCCTTGATCTATCCTGACTAGAGTTGTCGGTAGTGGAAGGTAAGAGCTAAAACATTTCTGTTTAGACTGTAGGCCTTCTAGAAGCATGGGCTTGCATTGTATGTAGTCAGTCTGCTCATGCATAGTAATGCACACCTGGGACACGGTAAATTAGGAAGGGGAATTTCTGTTGTGTTGCTCCTTGCGTGAAAACAAACATCCTTTGTGTCTGTCTGGAAATTATCTGGTATGGTATGTGTGTGGTATTCTCCAGAAAATACAGCCAATGGATGAGTTCATTGATGTTTACTTTCTTGTACCTGGAAACTATAACTATGGGCACATAGGATGGAGGACTGGAGTCCAGGCATTTGCTGCACGTTTTTTGTTCCAATGTTTGTTGGTTAAAAATACATAAGGGTGGACATGGTTTGTAATGGCTGTAGCCCTGAGCTTGGGTTTAAATTGAATTGCTAAAGGAGGAAATTAACCCATTCCTATTAAGTTCATTTATAGTATGCACCTTAACTTTGGTGGTCTTTTATCCAGGAAAACCTACTCACAAGCCCAGTGAATTCTGCATTGTCCTTTTATTCCCCCCCATTGTTCTTCCACAACATATACTGTGCCACACTGCCTCTCTTGTACGTCATTTGCAGGCGGATGTCTCTGTGTTCTCTCAGCCAGTGCCCTGGTGACGCAGTGTCAGGTTCTTCTCCTTCAGCCTCTATGTCAGGGTTTCTCCATCAAGGTTCCATGGATTCCTAGGGTTCCTCCAGATGTTGCTAGGGGTTCCTTGAGTAATGAGCTGTAAGTGCCTCTCAGATAATGTCCCACTGACACCATTGATCTTTTTAGCTATCTGTAAGGGGGTAATTCTTTCCAATGACCACAAGTGTAAGGAGCATTCTTCACACTGACACCATTGATCTTTTTAGTTATCTGTAAGGGGGTAATTCTTTCCATTGACCACAAGTGTGAGGAGTCTTCCCACTGACACCATTGATCTTTTTAGCTATCTGTAAGGGGGTAGTTCTTTCCACTGACCACAAGTGTGAGGAGCATTCTTCCCACTGACACCATTGATCTATTTAGCTATCTGTAAGAAGGTAATTCTTTCCAATGACCACAAGTGTGAGGAACATTGTTCCCACTGACACCATTGATCTTTTTAGCTATCTGTAAAGGGGTAGTTCTTTCCATTGACCACAAGTGTGAGGAGCATTCTTCCCACTGACACCATTGATCTTTTTAGCTATCTGTAAGGGGGTAGTTCTTTCCAGTGACCACAAGTGTGAGGAACATTGTTCCCACTGACACCATTGATCTATTTAGCTATCTGTAAGAAGGTAATTCTTTCCAATGACCACAAGTGTGAGGAACATTGTTCCCACTGACACCATTGATCTATTTAGCTATCTGTAAGAAGGTAATTCTTTCCAATGACCACAAGTGTGAGGAACATTGTTCCCACTGACACCATTGATCTTTTTAGCTATCTGTAAGGGGGTAGTTCTTTCCAGTGACCACAAGTGTGAGGAACATTGTTCCCACTGACACCATTGATCTATTTAGCTATCTGTAAGAAGGTAATTCTTTCCAATGACCACAAGTGTGAGGAACATTGTTCCCACTGACACCATTGATCTTTTTAGCTATCTGTAAAGGGGTAGTTCTTTCCATTGACCACAAGTGTAAGGAGCATTCTTCCCACTGACACCATTGATCTATTTAGCTATCTGTAAGAAGGTAATTCTTTCCATTGACCCCAAGTGTGAGGAGCATTCTTCCCACTGACCATTATACTATTGTATCATGAGTTGTAGATATAGTAATTATTTACAGAGGTTCCCTGAGACTGGAAAGCTATTTCAAGGATTCCTCTGTGTTGAAAAGTTTGAGAAAGGCTGCTGTTTGTGGAAGCATGCAGCCTACTGATATTCGTGATATTGGTGTCCCGGGAGGCTGCAGGAGGAGGCCTCATCTCTTACTCACTTGAGGCAGGGAGGTCAACCATAAGCACATAACAAAACATGATTAAAAGGAAATAAAACAAAACTGCTTTTTTATGTTGTGGAGGGGGGAGGACTGGGATGGTGGAAACTGCAACTCTTTGCATGAAGGTCAAAATATAAATACATTTAATGTTTGACTCTAAGCAAAAGTGACAATTTGCTGTGCAGCTATTGTGGTAAAATGGGAGTAGGCTGTTTCTTAGTAAAGATTGCAACAGCTTAAAGTGGTAGTAAAGTCACCTGTTTGATTTATACCTGCAAGCGAGCATATGATGAGGCTTATCTATAGGTACAGTAAATATCTCCTAAATGGGCAGCACAGTGGCTAAATGGTTAGCACTCCCGCCTGGCAGTACTAGGGTCATTGGTTAGAATCCCAACCACGTCACCACCTGCCTGGAGTTTGCATGTTCTCCCTGTGCCTGCGTGGGTTTCCTCCGGGTACTCCAGTTTCCTCCCACACTCCAAAGACATGCTGGTAGATTAATTGGCTCCTGTCTAAATTGGTCCTAGTATGTGTATGTATGAGTGTGAATTAGGGACCTTAGATTGTACGCTCCTTGAGGGTTAGGGACTGATGTGAATGTACAGTAAATATGTAAAGCGCTGCGTAAATGGACGGCGCTATATAAGTACCTGAAATAAATAAAATAATAAATGTGCACCATTTAGGAGATACTTTAGTAACAACCAGTGACATCGCCGGCGCATGCACACTGAACACTGAATGGGCTGTGCCATCCACTCAGAGCTCTGTGTTGTGGCCGTGACCCCTGTGCACATGTGTGGGAGTGATGTCACCATGGTTTGGCCTTTCAAAGGGCGAAGATGGAAGCCCTGGCAGCAGTGACAGTGCGTTGCTGGAGGGCTTTGTTTGAAGTCAAGTGTGCCATAATGTGCTAGTATGCAGTACATGCAAGCATGCTATAACCTTTATCTTGCAGGGGTCATTTTTTATTTATTTTTTTAACAAGTGAAATTTCAGAGGATTGCAAAGAGCATAAAGGCAGTACAGGCCCTTAATAGAAAATCATGACTGAGCCCTGTAATAAAGAACATAGGGGCTGCCTATGCTGGGGTCCTTCTAATAACGCTAGTTAACTGGTTTTCTCTAAATTCAGTCATTTTGATGTTACTTGTTTGCTTTGAAGGATATGTTCACTTTTTGTAACATGTTACACTTTCAGTTACACACACTCTCCACTGTGACAGTAAGCCAGGGATCCTCTCCCCACACCCGCTGTCAGAATGAAGAAAAAAAAAAAGGCAGCCATGTGGGGCTCCTCCTACCTGGCGATGTGATTATTTCAGAGTTCTTTGAGCGGGAGAGCTACAAGTACCAACAACCTTTGCGGCTGTTGACTTGTAGTTCTTAGTGAACTACCATGGAGCTGATTCTTTCTGTCATTGTGTAACTAGCTGCGTGTACGAGATAGAAGCAGACAGATACACTGATAGTCTGCAGGAGCCTCACCTTGCACCCTCAATCTGCTGATCCTAGTAGACAAAAATAAATGTAAATTTTTTTGCCTGCAAAAAAGATGTGCATTTATTTTTCTTACCAAGATGAGCTGTGAAGACAATCTTTTTGGTCAAGCTGCCTATTGTTGATTACCTTCTACAAACCTCAGCTGTGGGCTGCTCTGAAAATGTCTGTCCATTTTTTTTAATCCCTTCAGCAAAGTGTTTTATTGATTGTCTGTTAGCAATGTTGGAAGCTGTTTTTCTGAATGATTTGAATACTTCACATAGTTATCTCTTAGAATTGGCAATCTTTTCTGTGCAGGTCTTAATCATTGGAGGTGGTGTTGCTGGTCTGGCTTCTGCAGGAGCTGCTAAATCAATGGGGGCCATCGTCCGAGGATTTGACACCAGGTATGTTTATTTTTTATAAGATTATAATTTATTTATTTTTAAATTCTCTGTCACGAGGCATGGAGGCTGTGAGTTTTCGCAGATGTGCTGCAGGTCTTTTGGATCTGTGGCACATCATGTCATGAAAATTCTGTGGTTTCTAGTGGGGGCTTGGACAGTCAGCTGAGAAAATATAAATCTCATGGCTTCTATATCAGCTGAGAGTTGGTGTACACGCCGGCGCTGCTACTGATCTGTGACATATGCCAGTCTTGGTGAAGAGGGTTAGTGCAAACTGGTTTCCATGCCCCATTTGCAAAAAGCACAGGTTTGCTTTAAAGTAATACTACAGGTATTTTTTTAGATTCAAATAACAAACATGTCATACTTACCTGTGCACAGAGAAGTCACGATCCTCCACTTCTCGGGTCCCTCACCAGTGCTTCTGCCCCCCCCTCCCGCTGCATGCCCCCATAGCAAGCTGCTTTCTATGGGGGTCTTTTGCATGCTCACTCCTGAGCCCCACTCTGTGTGCTCATAGACACACAGAGCATGGATCAACCCTGCTCCCTCTTCAGTGACTGTAAGCCAATGAGGAGGGAGAGAGCCGGGAGAGCTGCTGCTCTTGTGCACATTGCTGGATCGAGATTAGGCTCAGGTAAGTATAAGGTGAAGGGGGGGGGGGGCTGAGGAGGGAGCAGAACACAGGCTTTTTTTATATTCATGCATAGAATGCTTGAAGGTAAGAAACTTTTAGTCTTTAGAACCACTTTAAGATAACCACATACTAGTGTTTCTGCGTCTGCTGTCTGATCATAATCTTTGTATTTCCTGTGTAGATTCCTTTCTGATCCATATAATCCTTGTATTCTCTCTATACATTTTATTCTGAAGTGCCATATATGCTGTGATGTATTGCTACAGGTATCACCGATAAACCTTTTAAACTGATGTGTGTGGTGCCTTGCAGCTGATAATCTTGTTTCTCTATATAATGCAGGGCTGCAGCTTTGGAGCAGTTCAAGTCTCTTGGTGCCGAGCCTTTGGAAGTAGACCTGAAGGAGTCTGGAGAGGGACAAGGAGGGTACGCTAAGGAAATGTCCAAGGAGTTTATCGATGCTGAGATGAAGCTATTTGCCAAGCAGTGTCAAGATGTGGACATCATCATTACTACAGCTCTCATTCCTGGTAATTAATCTGGAAATACAATAAGGGATTATCGCATTACAAGCTAACTTCCCTCCTCCTCCATACATTTATATTGTCAAATACTTGCTTTAATAAACCTGTGTGGGCCTTTAAATTCAGGGAAATTAGCTATTGATTATAAATAATTTGCCCATGATATGACCACTCATTAGCTATGGCCAGTTTCACACTCCTGCGCTCCGGTTGTGGTTAACCCATGGTTTCTATTAGGACGTGCGTTTTTGAACGTTATTCTGAACTCGCATTAAAGATGCAGCATGCAGGACTTTTGGGCTGAAAACATGCAACATCATAGAAAGTCTTTGGAAAACTGTGGGTTACCTGCACAAAAATTTATGTACACCTGCACTGTGGGACTCACCGCAGCAAAGCAGTGTGAAACCGGCCTAATTTCATTCTGGTGCAGATGGACACAAACATTTACTGATATTTATGCACAGGATCTTGCTGGCAGAAAGATCATGAATATAAATGCAAGTTATGTACATAGCATGTACACACTTAAAAGTGCAAACATGCATTCACATGTAAAATTTTTCTTCATTTTCAAGATGCCAGTGCTTACTACACTCAAACATTACTTTTTTTTTCTTTCTTTGCATTACGGATCTTTATGCAGCTGTGTGCATTATTCCATAAACCACAATGCACCTGTGTTCAGAAGGAAAACAATACTACATGGCTAAAGCGCAGCATTTCTTTCACCTGTGTGCAGGAGGCCTAAGGTTGAGTCATAAGACACAATGTTTCCTTGTAGGAAATGTGAGGACATCTCCATCCTTTAAAGCAGAACTTTGGGAAAAACATTTTTTTCCCCCCATGCAGTGAGAAAGGCTATACTTACCCGATCCTTTGATCCTCCGGAAAACGGCGCTCCCCCCGTGTCCAGCGGTAGACTGTTCCTGCTGTTCTCATGTCCAGAGCCGGTCTATGGGTGTGCTGATGTCAGGAACAGTCCATTGCAGGGTGGGGTGGGGTGGGGAGCAGGAGTGACAGGGACTTGCATTGGGATGATCGTTGGATTAGGTAAGTATATCTTTGTTCTCCTCACCCCTAGACAAAAATGAGCAGCTAACCCATGCAGTGCATGCACAGCCCACTGCATGGGGAAAATAAAATCCTGGAATTCCTCTTTAAACTAATTCTTTATCCATCACCCTAAAAGCAAACATTTATTACATTGTAGTTTTCCAATTTTTATTGTCATGGGATGCAAAATCCATTTGTTTCCTGCTCCTCCCAAAACATTTTTAAGTGCCCTCACTTTTTTTTTTCCTCTTTTATTTTTACCTCACTGGTGATCCTGCACTGCTCCCAGCAAGTCTGTTGTTGTTCAAAAGAACAAGTTCTCTTGCATCTGCTATCAGTTTCAAGGACATCCAATTGTTTACTATGACAGGGGTGCTTACAATTATCAGCATTACGGCGGTCTATTTATGTAAAACCTTTAGTCTCCCAAACCCCCCCTCCCTATCCTTCTCCTCCTTCGAGGAATTAAAATTGCTGTGATTTACACTATTTGCATTTTCATGTACTCTTCTATAGACTTTCAGTGGGGATTATCCCTGAAAACACAGATCCAAATGTATGTGCATACAAAAATCAGATCTTGTCTTCTCCAACCGCTGCCTAACTCAACACCTTTTTTTGCACATATGCAGATGTCCAAAACAGCCTTCTTGGTATTTTCGTTGACACATGCATTATGCACTGCAAAATGCACAGATGTGAACCCAGGCCTCAAGACTATGTTCACATTTTGCATTGTGGGAACATGCACCACAACGCACAAAGAGGTGCAGTCCTTCTGCAGACTTGCAGCACGTGCCATTATTTTTTAATGGCACACCCCCACATCTCGCTAACACACGCGTGTTCATGTGCTCTTCAAAATGCTTGGTTACTATGCGATTTGGTGTGGCATTTTTTTTTAAAAGAGTCAGGCACTTCTTTTACATTTTTCTTGTGCTTAGGGAAATATGAGTTAACATAAAGGCCATTCGTAAAAACATGTGCAGTCTCCATTGCATCTGCATGGTATGAATCCCACCGGAGTTACTAATGAGTGTTTCCAAATTCTATTTGTCATTTCCCAATAACAGGTTGTGCTTTCTGGAATTTCCGACAGTTACAAAACTCCATTGTATGGTGTGGGAGTACTTTTAACTACTGCATCTCTGGAAGGATTTTATCCTCTTCATAACCAGGCCTTTTTTTTTCTTTTTAGTTTCTGCCTACTTAACACAAACAAAATTTATATAGTTTTTTTCACACAAATAGAGCTTTCTTTTGGTGGTATTTGATCACCACTGGTTTCTTTATTCTTCATTTATATAAAAAAAAGACAGAAAATTACGGAAAAAAAACAATATTTTTACTTTTTTCTATAATACATATCCAAGAAAAAAAAAAATTCTTTGTACATTTTGGCCAAAATGTGTTCTGCAAGATGTCTTTTGATTAAAAAAAAATCCCAGTAAGTGTTTATATTATTATACAGGATTTATATAGTGCCAACAGTTTACGCAGCGCTTTACAATGTAAAAGGGGATAGTACAATTACAATACAGTTCAATACAGAAGGAGTAGAAGGGCACCTGCTCGAGGAGGTTACAATCTAAATGGAGGAGGGGTGATAATATCTGCAGGAAGGGATCTGATGGTGGTGACTTAAGTACAGTCCATAGGTAGAGGTGGAGTAGGTGTATATAGTGTAAATTGATTTGTTTGTTACAAACTATAGTGTTTATATATTGGAACTCATATATATATATATATATATATATATATATATATATACACATTATATAATTATATTTATTTCAGGTACTTATATAGTGCCGTCAATTTCTGCAGCGCTTTACATATATATATTATACATTCACATCAGTCCCTAACCCTCAAGGGGTGTACAATCTAAGGTCCCTAACTACATTCATACATACACATACTAGGGACAATTTAGACAGGAGCCCAAATAACCCACCAGCATGTCTTTGGAGTGTGGGAGGAAACTGGATTACCCAGAGGAAACCCACGCAGGCACAGGGAGAACATGCAAACTCCATATATATATATATACATTTTTTTTTTATATTAGTAATGGTGGAGGTCCGTGCTCTATAATGGGACTGTGATGCTGTGGGGGCAATTTGACACTAACACTTTTGTAGGAACTGACTAACAGACACTGACATCGCCAGTGCCGCTAATGCAGTGATTAGTGATTATATAGTTTACTACTGCTTTAAAGTGGTTGTAAAGGCTCAGGGTTTTTTAAAATGCATGAAGGGTAAAAAACCTTCTGTGTGCAGCAGTGCCCCCAGCCCCCCTCAATTCTTACCTTAACCCCATCGAGAGCCAGCAATGTGCACGACAGCCTCGGCTGTCTTGTGTTTCTGCCTCCTCATTGGCTGAGACAGCAAGCCGGAGCCATTGGCTCCTGCTACTGTCAATCACAGCCAGTCAGCCCAGCCAATGAGGAGAGAGAGGGGGCGAGGCCAAGCCGCGGCTCTGTGTGTGAATGGACACAGGGAGCAGCGGGTGCCCCCATAGAAGCTGCTTGCTATGGGGGCACCCGACAGAAAGGAGGAGCCAGGAGAGCCTGCGGGGGACCCGAAAAGAGGAGGATCCAGGCTGCTCTGTGCAAAATCACTACACAGAGCAGGTAAATATAAACGTGTTTGTTATTTTACAAAATAATAAAAAAAAATAACCTTTAGTATCGCTTTAAAGGCTCTCTCAAGTGGTTTTATTTGGAGATTTTGTAATTTTGCTTTACTTTCCTTAACAGGGAAAAGAGCTCCCATATTGTTCAAGACAGATATGATTGAATCCATGAAGGAAGGTTCAGTTGTGGTGGATTTGGCATCAGAGGCCGGTGGTAACATTGAAACTACCAAACCCGGAGAGCTTTATGTTCACAAGGTAGGTTGTAATTTTCTCTGTGTTATTGGTATTTCTTTATTTTGCAATGTGTGGTAGTTTTCAGAAAATAGTCATAGTCCTTCAAGCTGCAGAAACTGATCTGCTGTTGGCTGCTCTGTATATTCTACTCTTGTCCTGTATTGTGTATTGTTGAAGAATATTGTATATCATGTCGGGTATCTGCTTCTTTTATAATGAAGGAATAGTGTAAGCTAATGTATTTTGATTCTGCCCACAATTCCAAAGAAGACCAAATGGTGTGACGATCTCATTAGTATACGGCTACTCTTTCATTGTCCATCATCTAAAGTTTGAGATAGGTCTGGCTGTATTGTACATCTGGCTGTATTGTATATCTGGCTGTATTGCTCAGCTGCAATGCAGTCTATAGGAAGGTTTCAGAATATAATCAGAAGATTGGATGAATTGCATCACAAAGCCTGTAAGCTGGTAAAACCTACCCATCCGCATGTATTTTGCTTTGTGGCTGGTGTGGTGGGTTAGCTTTGGGAATGAAACCTATTATTTGGTGTGATCAGTTCAGGTGTACATGTTATTGCTCATTGTGTTACATTATGACTTCCTTATTTGTAGTAGTTTTGTATGCTGATGTAAACTATCCTTTTTAATCTCCAGATCTGTACTTTTTATTTTTTTTTATTTACAATTGGTTTAATTGAGATAACAAGCTTCTTAAACTTATTTTCAGGGAGTAACACACATCGGTTATACCGATTTTCCCAGCCGAATGGCCACACAAGCCAGCACACTGTACTCCAACAACATTACCAAACTGCTGAAAGCCATCAGTCCTGACAAAGACAACTTCTACTACGCCCTGAAGGATGATTTTGACTATGGAACCATGGATCATGTCATCAGGGGAACAGTGGTCATGAAGGTAAGCTCATGTCTGAGAATACATCAAGAGCCTGGATAACTTTCAAAAGGCCACTTTTGCCGTTGTATTGGTGTATTTGCTATGAGCACCACCTCCTCTCTCTCTCTCTATCTCTCTCTCTCCCTCTCCCTCTCTCTCTCCACTTGGTGCTTCATGTTGTGGATTGAAGAATGGTAGACCCTGCTTATAATTACAACAGGTGTGCAGACATAGTAACTCAAGCACAGGGATCTATTTTTTTTTTTTTTTTTTTTTGAGATAAGGATATTTTTATTAGACTTTGTTATTTGCAAACACAGCAGTTCCAGAGAGCCATACAAAAAGCAAAAAAGAGGGGAAAAAAAGTATCTTACACTTCGACATCAATATACAAAAGCAATACAGTGTGCATCGCATGGGGGTGCAGCATACAATAATCAATACAGAGTAGATTACATATCAAAGAAGCACTGGTGTTATTACATTCCCAGATCCAAAGAGGCTGTGGTGAGAAGACATTCGGTCCACTGATTCCTTACTCTTATCAGAGGTTTGAGGTTTCTTCAGAAGCGCAAAAAATTATTTTTTATAATGGGGAGATTATCCTTAACCAGGGTCTTCCAAGTCTCAACAGAAAGCTGCGAGCCACCCTTTCAGGGCATAAGAATTAACTTCATAGGATGAAAGTATAAAATACGTAGCAGTCGTTTATCATATTTAGAAAGTTGAAGGTCACTAAAGATCCCTAGCAGGCAGTTCTTAGGGTGCAAAATGTTGGGTAGACCAAGTGCAGTAGATAAAAAGGTTCACACAAGGATCTAATTTAATACAGTCCCCAAATTGTATTAAAGAGAAACTTCACTCCCCCATTTATTATTTCTTCGCCCATCTTGTCTGCAGGGTTGTCTCTAGAAAAATATACTCTTTCACCCAGTGAATCCAACATTGTCTGCTGTAATCGGTCCCCTCAGTGCTGCGTGCCGGGTCCCGTGCTGCCATGTTCTCTATGTCATCAGGGGCCTGGCTCCCTCTTCTAGCAGGCCCCTTAATGATGTGCCATGGCATATTTGCAGTGTGTCTGATCATTTCCAGCGCATGCTCAGTGTGTGTTGAATAATTTCCACCCATGCCCACTTTTATTGAAAAAGAAAATTCCATCCAGGATTCCCATGCAGGGGTTTCAACTTAACACCGCAAATACAAAAAAAAAAAAAAAAAATTCCCAGTATCTCCAGCTTGGACCCACCAGAGACTTCCGGATTCTCTCCAGCCCCCTTGGACGCACTGGCCTCCGCAGCTTCCTCAGCCTCCCAGACCCTCTCTTGGTCTCCCAGACTCTTGAAATTGGTCAGACTTTCTCAGTCCTTGGGTCCAGAATCCTCCTCACAGGGGTTGTAATCTCCACCAGTAACTCCTAGCTCTTCTGACAGGGCTCTGTCTTCAAACAGCTCTAACTCCCACCTCCCCTGAGCTATGCCCTAATCTGCTCTGTAATGGGCCTGACTACCTGTGCACTCACGCAGGCTGTAGGCAATTAGGAAACCCTGGACACCGTACTGAAGACTCCATCGCACCCTATGCTTTTTGGAGTCTTCAAGCTTCTAGCCCTGATCCAGACTTAAAAAAACCAGGGAAAACCTAAAACATAGTTTTCTCTGCTCACAAATCTGCTGGAGCTTCTCAAACTGACTCTTTGAGAGTCTTGGGTCCATTTTAAACCCATTTCCATGGCTCTTCATGTCACAGTACATTTGCTAATGTGGCAAAGGAGGGGGAAGGAGCGAAAAAAATGTGAAGGTCCGCTTTAGGGTGTATATTAAACCAAAACTTTTAATTTTAGTTTTAGACCGTTTTTATTGCTGTCTTTGTTTTTGCTTGGGAGTCTCACTCCTCTCATTATATTGGTGATCACTGTCACCAAGATAGAAAGTAAGTGGAAATTCTAAATTTTGTCATGAGCGCAAGAGGTGCGGGGAAATCTTTTATTGGGGACACCTGTTCTGATGACAGCTGTCTAAGGTTGGAATTCCCCCCACTTACATCTTTTTGCATCTCCAGCACAGGAAGTGAAAGGAAATGTCCCCGGCAGGACACAGACCACAACAAAAAAAAACCTGATAGGGGTTTTAACCATTTCCTACTATATCCAAAACTAAAAAAAAAAAAGTTTTGACTGTACTTGCACACTTTGTTCACACCAGCCTGTAGCATTTGTGTGCAGTCTGGTGTCTATTGTGTAGCAGCCATGATGCGTGGTGATAGGCATTGCAAATTTGTATCAGCACATCAAACTGTTTACGATTTTCTTTAAAGTGGTTGTAAAGGCTCAAGGTTTTTTACCTTCATGCATTCTTTGCATGAAGGTAAAAAACCTCCTGTGTGCTGCATCCCCCCCAGCCCCCCCTAATACTCACCTAAGCCCCCTGTTGATCCAGCGATGTGCACTGGAGTCTCGGCTATCCCATTGGCTCCTGCTGCTGTCAATTGCAGCCAGTGAACCAATGAGAAGAGAGAGGGGGTGGGGCTGAGCCTTTCTCTGTGCGTGAATGGCCGTACCGAGCAGCTGCTGGGGAGTGCGTGTGCTCGGGTGCCCCATTGCAATCTGCTTGCTGTGGGGGTACCCAAGAGGATGGAGGGGCCAGGAGCGCTGGCGAAGGACCCAAGAAGAGGAGGATCTGGGCAAATCCGCTGCACACAGCAGGTAGGTATAGACATGTTTAATTTAAGTCTATAGAATCACTTTAACTACCGTGTTTCCCTGAAAATAAGACAGTCTTATTTTTTTTTTTTTTTTTTTGGCTCAAAAAAAACACACTAGGTCTTATTTTCAGGGTAGGTCTTATTTTTTAATGTACAGGTGTGGACAGGGGGTGCAGAGGTGAGCTGCAGGCAGTTGTGGATGAGGGTTACTATAGAGAGGGCCAGCTGATGACAGGTGTGAGCTGCAGTCAGGTGTTGCAGGGGTGACTTGACAGGTGAGTTTCAGACAGGGTGCAGAGATGAGCCAAAGACAGGGTGCAGGGGTGAGTTGCAGACAGGGGATGCAGAAGTGAGCTGTGGCTGGGGGGTGCAAAGCTGAGCTGAGGTTAGGGGGTGCAGAGGTGGGTTGCAACTCAGCTGACCTCTGCACCCCCCAGCCGCAGCTCACCTATGCACCCTGTCTGCAACTCACCTGTCAATTTACCTCTGCAACACCTGACTGCAGCTAACCTTTGCACATCCCTCCTCCCTATCCACTGCCCTCATATGGTTAGCTAGCTTTGCAAAACACAGCTGTGAGCAGCCGGCCCCTCTCTATAGTAACTCCCGCTTCGGGTCCTATCTTCCCACACAGTGCACCAAGTGCACTTACTCACCACTCCACCTCTTCCTCACTGGCCAGTGATCACCCCTGGGGCATCAGCTTCCATGCATTAGGCTGCAGGATGAGATGCCCCACCCCACCCCTAAACACACTGCGCCCTCATATATCTGTTCCTTCCCTGTCCCACAGTGAGTACAGAGTTAGGGGGGTCCTGTGGGAGCGGATGTGCTGTTACTTACAAGAGGGATTGTCACTTGCAAACACAAAAGCCGCACTTCTGTGTTTATAAGAGACAGTAGATATTGGTGTACACAGGGCCAGGGCCAGAGGTGGTGGAACAGCTGATCACAACTAGGTCTTATTTTCAGGGTAGGTCTTATACTTCAGCAATTCCCAAAAATAGTACTAGGTCTTATTTTCGGGGAAACCGGGTATAATGAAATGTCATTCTGTGACATTTCAGTAAAGTGTATGTGCCACAGCTGAGCTGCAGTGCGGGGACATGTGGTACAATGAATTGCTCTGTGTCGGGCCGGGTAAATGTCTTTGGCGGCTGTAGGTTGAGGACCCCTTCTCTACACAGACTATCCTCTTTAGTCTATCATGAATTCTACTGCCAGACTAATCCACCTTACCAACAATTGGCTTATGATCACCCAATAAAATTCAAAATATTAACTTACAGAGCCATTCATAACTCTTCTCTTGCTCTTCCCAAGACCACCTGCTCTCCTCCTGTGATCTCATCCAGCCCTTTTCCAGAGCCTCTCCCATCGTCTGGGAATCCCTACCCCAGACTAGGTCCTACTCTGTCTGCCTTTGGAAGATGCCTGAAAACCCATCTCCTCAGGGAAGTATATCTCACCTCCACCTAACAACTGAAACGGTACTTTATCCATCAGCTCACCCCCCACAGTTATTCCCTTTTGTACCCCTTGATCCCACCTTTGAATTTGTAAGCTCTCATGAGCAGGGCCTTCCTAACCCTCTTGTATGGAATTATATTGTAACTGTGCTGTCTTTCTTTATTTTCTAAAGTGCTGTGCAAACCGTTGGCACTATATAAATCCTTTATAATAATTATGGGAATAGTGTGAACGAGCTCTAACGCTCCAGCATGTACCCAAAGTTCACATTTGAGTTTTGGGTGAACTGGGCTCTTTCACCTATGATTCTGGTTTCTGCCCATTCTATATGGTAATTCAGAAGCATCTCTGTTCCATTAGGTTTAGGAGCCAAGATTTAATACTTGTCCTTCAGAGCCATCTGCTGGCTGAGATGGATATCACAGAGCCGAGATGGAATTCATTTTCATATGAGTTATGTTAGGTCTTAATGGTCTAAAGCAGTGGTCTTCAAACTGCGGCCCTGGGGCTGGATGCGGCTATTTGCTTGCCTTTATCTGGCCTATGAGGCATTATTCCTACCACTGACATCAACAATGCGGCACTATTTCTTCCACTGACACCAACGATGGGGCATAATTGCTTCCAATGACACCAACGATGGGGAATAATTCCTTCCTGTGATACCAATGATAGGGAATAATTCCTTCCAGTGATACCAACGATGGGGCAGAATTCCTTCCAGTGATACCAACGATGGGGCATAATTCCTTCCAGTGATACCAACAATGGGGAATAATTCCTTCCAGTGATACCAACGATGGGGCATAATTCCTTCCAGTGATACCAACGATGGGGCAGAATTCCTTCCA